TTGTGTCTTGATATCCCTCCTGAGCTCTAGGTCTTATCTTGGATTATCCTTGGATTTCTCAAATGTAATAAGGCCCAAACAGGAATCTCAGACTAGCCTGGGGTTTCTCTTAATATCCCTCAATATAGTGAATGGTATGACCAACCACCTTATGCGTTAATCCAGGAACCTTGCTTTCCTCTCCAACTTCCCAACCCAATAAATCACTACATTCTGTTGATTTTTAAAGGTACTTATTATAGCTGGCTCTTTAATCCATCTCTTTATATCTCTTTGCTGCTGACTCATTTCAGGTTTTCTTTCTTCCTTGGATTACTATAATAGCCTTCTCATGGACTCTGTTCCTAGTAACTCATGTCCAGTCCAGCCTTTCACAACTACCAGAATGATCTTGAAACTATTCTGATCTTGACAGTTTGCTATTTAAACTGCACCTTCAAAATAAGATTAAATATCATTACTAAATTCTCACTCCTGCCTACCACTGTTGCCTCACACTCCAGGTGTTCTGCCAGCCAAACGATTTACAATTCCCCAAGCCATCTGTTCACCCTTTCTTCTTTGCCTCTGCATAGGCTATATCTTCTGCTTAGATTTCTCCTTACCCAAATTTTCCTCCCATGATAATAGCTAATATTTATTGAATTATATCATTTAATTTTCACAGCCACCCAATGATAGCTACTATCACCTTCATTTCACAGAAACAGGTATAGATTATGAAACTATCATATCATTATTAGCTGACAGATTCAGGATCTGACTTCCAAGTTCTTAACTACAATAATATTTTTTCTCTTTTCATTCCATTTAGGCCTCTGTTTCACAGTTTCTGCAGTAGATCATGCTTGATTCTGAATCCAGGTTATTAATCATGATTTTGCCCTGTCTGGAATACCTTTTAATCCCTACGCCATTCATTCTAATTTTAATGGACCCTGCTAAAATCCAGTTTTTTTCAAAACCTTCCCAATAACCATTGCCTTTCTTAAATTTCCCATAGTAACTTTTACTATAGCAGTTACCAGAGAGTCATTTATGTCTGCAGAATAACTTACTACTATGTGTATATTATATTCCTAGTGAGAGGATATGCTCCAGAAGGTCAGAGATTCAACGTTTTCTTCCTGAGCAGATTGGAAAATGTTACATTCATAGTAGGTCCTTAGTAAGTTATTGTTCAACAAGGAGTCAACTTATAGTCATACTAGAGGCCCAATGCACAAAATTCAAGCATTGGGCGGGGGGGTGGTCCCCTCAGCCTGGCCTGTGCCCTCTTGCAGTCTGGGACCCTTCAGGGGATATCTGCCTGCAGGCCTAAGCCGGCAGTCAGAAATCCCTCTTGCAGTCCAGGACCCCTCGCTCCTTACTGCCCGCCTGCTCGCTGCTCTTTACCGTTCAGCTCACTGCTCCTTATCACTGTGGTGGAGGCGGGAGAGGCTCCCACCACAGCCACTGTGCTTGCTAGCTGTGAGCCCAACTTCTGGCTGAGCAGCGCTCCCCCAGTGGGAGTGCACTGACCACCAGGGGACAGCTCCTGGGTTCACCATCAGCCCCCTAGTGGTCAGTGCGCATCATAGCGACTGGTTGTTCCACTGGTCATTCGATTTGCATATTAAGGTTTATTATAAAGGATGTTTTAAAGTATTTTTCATATATAAGGATTTTAGAGCCAGAGATAAAGATTAGTACAACCCCTTTAATGATGAAAAGATAAGGCTTGCAATTAGACAAATTATTTAATGGTAAAATAATATAGCAGTTAATTGACAACCAAATGTTTCCTGATTCCTAACTATATCATAATTAAAATAGGGAGTTATATTGAAATGCTACCTTTTATCTAACTAGTAGGCTTTTCTTGTTTTAATCCTCAGCAGAGGACTTTTATTGATTTTAGAGAGGGCGGAAAAGAGAGAGAAACATCAATGTGAGATCGATTGGCTGTTTCCTGTACTCACTCTGACCAGGGATTGAACCCAAAACCTAGGTATGTGGCCTGACTGGGAATCAAACCTGGTATATGGGACCACACTCCAACCAACTAAGCCATCCAGCCAGGGCTAACTAGTTTTGATACATTAAAGTTCAGATGAAGTTCTATATTGTTTTTATAAAACTGGATGTGGATTAAGCATGGTTCAGAAAAAAAAAATACACATCGCATTCCCATAAAACTATTCAGGCATTTGTCTTTTTGTTTGTAGATGCTATAGGCAGGATCAAAGTAAGGGTTTGACTTTTTTTTTTTTTTTAGAAAGGTTGAGTCCCTTTGTGATTTGGTAATTTCCATCAGTTAATTGTGAAATATTTTCACTTAGTAATTTTACATCTGATGCCCACAAATTTATCTTGCTGACAACACCTAAATTAATCATTACCTACCACATATCTAAATGTACTGCCAGTTCTGTTTTAATGTTCAAGAACCCTCTGGAGCAGTGGTTCTCAACCTTCCTAATGCCGCGACCCATTAATACAGTTCCTCATGTTGTGGTGACCCCCCACCATAAAATTACTTTCGTTGCTACTTCATAACTGTAATTTTGCTACTGTTATGAATTGTAATGTAAATATCTGATATGCAGGATGTATTTTCATTGTTCGCGACCCACAGGTTGAGAACCATTGCGGAGGAAATATTTTTCAAAAGAAGAGCAATGTCTAATAATTTTTACAGTATTACAAAAGAACCTATGTTTTGGAAAGGAACCTATTTTAAAAATAACTTCTGCTTCAGAGGATGTTTACAAATCTGGTAACAAATTTCAGGTGTGCCTGGGAAGATCCAGTAAAGTTTAATAGGTACCCAGGCACATTCAGCCATGTTTTTTGTCAGTGTAATCACAATTTACAGAGCAAGAGCAAGGAGACAATGAGTGAGGAACCCTGGGACTTAAAAATGTTTGAAAGGAGTACAGTGAGTATTAAGAAAGATTTTTTTTGAATTTTCATATTCAATATATTCTTTTGTACAGCATACTATTTATTTAACCAATATTTATTATGTGCCAGTTACTTAGTGTAGGTGCCGGGGATACATCAATGACCAAAATAAAATAGTTTTAAGCAGAGTCATTATCTAACAAGTTCTTAAAAGGATTACTGCTGTGTGGAATATTAAACTGTGTGGAAGAGCGGGAAGGAGGGAAACCAGTTTAAAAAGGCTTTTACGGGAATGCAGGCAAGAGATGATGATGGGTTGGCTTGGAGTGGCAAGATGAGAAGTGGTCAGACTCAGGTTATATTTTGAAGGTGCAGCCAATACCTTGGGGCTTGAAGGAAATTTCAGAGGAGAGCACTTGGAAATGAATGGAAAGAAGAATTCCATTTTTGGTTGTAATTTTGCGATGCCCGTTAGACATCTAAGTGGAGATGTCTGGAGTTAAAGGGAAAGGTCAGGGTAGAGAGTTGTCAGCACACAAATGGTGTTTTGTGGCACCAGATGGAATCCCAAAAGGGATTAATGTTTTTTAAAAAGCTGGTATTCTCAAATTTAGAGATTTTGAGGATGAGGAAACTAGAAGTAGCAGCTGCTGAAATAAAAGGACAGAAATTGTATATGGAAGGCTCATTAAGACAATATTTCAAACTGTAGTATACATGTTATAGTGTATGTATGGCTTACTTCCAAATAAAAAATTGGAAATATACATTGAGGGAGTGATCAAGTATGTTAAATGTTATTCATAGATGGTAGATGAAAATTGAGTTTGGTGATCCTAATAAGAGGAGTATAAGCCTGCCCCAAATGAAAAAAAAAAAAATTAGAAGAGGAAGGAAAGACAAGTATAAAGAAATCTGTTTTATTTTTAAGAGAAATGGGATGGTAACTGAAATCAAAGGAGTTTTATTTGTTTAATTTGGGAATGTGAGTGAATGATCCAGTAAAGAGGGGAAAATTATACTGTACTAAGTGACATGCAAATAAGGATCAGCATCTATTTTATGTGAATCTTTAGTTCTTTTTGGACAGAGCCGTAAGTGTCCTAGATCTATCACCCAATATATATCAGTTTTCTGTTGGTTAGCAGTTTACCCTCTTTAAGCAATCATAGGGGATTGGTAAGAAATTTACATAATCTCTTCTGAGAAGTTTACAGTCTAGTTCGCTAAGTGAAGAAATCATAAGAAAGCACATACAAGTTTAACAAATTATAGACAATCCACTTTTAAACATCCATATGCTCCAGCTATTGGCACCTGTAACTGTCCTCCAAGATTTGTTTACACTATGTAATGCAGAGGGGGGAAGAAACCCCGTCCTTTCAGTCCTAATCCAGGGAAGAGATGACTTGGATTATTTATAAATCTTAGTGGAGAGAACTTGAACTGGGCACAGGTAACTTGGTGGGTCTAACACTAAAGATCAGAATAATTTTAGTATTGTTTGTCTACACATTGCACCTATGCTGAACACATATGTCACTAGCTTCCTATTTGTATTGACAATGGTTTAATTAGAACTGAGTTTGTAAGAAGGTGAAAAGTATTGTAGTATAGGGTAGATAGTTTTACATTTACTAGTGCACACACTTGGGAGTGGGCACAAAGAATAAAGACGCTTGCAATGTAGCATTATATAAGCAAGATCGATGCAGGACACACTGACAACTTACCTGTTCAATAATTTCTTTGGCTAACAAACTCCAGTTATGGAAAGTGCCCTGTTGGACCTAAGACAGCAAGACTTGAGTTCAGATTTGCCATCCCATTCCTTGTCCCCCCTTAAAAAATTACCCCTCTTGCCCTAACCGGTTTGGCTCAGTGGATAGAGCATCGGTCTGCGGACTCAAGGGTCCCCAGGTTCGATTTCGGTCAAGGGCATATACCTTGGTTGCCGGCCACATCCCGGGTAGGGGGTGTGCAGGAGGCAGCTGATCGATGCTTCTCTCTCATGGATGTTGCTAACTCTCTATTCCTACCCCTTCCTCTCTGTAAAAAATCAATGAAATATATATTTTTTTAAAAATCCCCCTCTTTGCAGCGTTTTCCCAGGCACAGAGAAATGAGAGAACAGCTACCACAATTCTGGGACACTGTGGAAGAGCTTTTTTGCATGGGGGATTCTGCAGCATCCAGAGGTACAAGAAGATAAACGCAGGTCTTCACAGCATGTTCTCAGCACAAGGAACAATAAGGCCCTCGCAGCAGTTTCTTCGATGGAGAAAACTACCCGTGTAAGAGGAGTTATCCTTTTTGTTCCCAAATTCATCCGTTTTCACAGCTTATAGTTCGGCCAACCCAGGGCTCATTCAGCCTCCAAACGGGCTCAAAGGTTGCTCCAAGTTTTACGCCTTCTCGTTCAAACTACACACACTGACTTTCTAGGATAGCGTGGTCTCACAATAATCTTACCCTAGCGAGTTACAAGAGCGAGTAACACCCCACTCCCCGAGTCTCTGGTCCCAACAGTCATTGCTTTCCCCAGCCAGCGGGGGAGCGGGGGGAGGGGAGGCGTCCGACAGGCTGGGAACGAGATGAGGGGGCCGAACGGCCAGCTGGCTAGAGCGGTCACCGTGCCGCCGCGCTCGCTGTTCTTCCGCTCTCTATGGTTAGGAGCTCCAGCCTTTCCCCCGCCCAACCGGAAATACTTAGGACCCCTGACGTTTGCGCATGCCCAGAAGGTAGTTCCGGTTCCGGTGTGACGTTAGGCGTTCCGGGCGTTTAGTAGTCGCGGTTGGTGGGCAATAACTGAGCCAACATGTTGCGGAATCTGCTGGTGAGGAGCTCTTCGGCCTGCAGTCGCGATGGGGGGCGGGAGCGTTGGGAGAGGAGGCTAAGGGACCGCGACCGACTCCCAAGTCTGTTCTGAGAGGGAAGGTGGGAGAGGAGGGCGGCTTCTTGGGTCACCTTGGTCCGCGTCCTTTTCTCCTGACGTTGCTTTCCCTTCGCCCCAGTCCCTGCTGGGTGTATGTAGGGAGAGGAGAAGCTGGGAAAGTGAGCACGGGAGTGTTAGTTAGATAAGCCTTGTTGTTGTTCCCTCGCCGCCCCTCACTCTGAGGGACTTCGATGAGTTTAGTAGCTCTGATGTGAGTAACCAAGGTCCGCGGGGGAAGGTTCTGCTACCCGAAGCCTCAGACAGAAAGGTGTTCCTCTATTACTGAAAGGGGGTAGGCTTCAGAGGTTCGGAGCTTCCTGAGCATCAGATTTCGGTTAGAAAAGCAAGTCGTCCAGTTTCGGGTGGGACTTGAGGAGCGGTCGTGGTGGCAGTGCCCTGTCGCTTCCTGCAGACGGCCCCGCAGTGCCCTTCAGCCCTCCCCCGGCTTCGGCATGTGCGTTATTTCTCCAGATTTGCGCAAAGGAAAGTGAAACAGTGGTCACCTTCTTCTGTAACAATAAAAAAGGTTTTACTTCGTTTTGTAATATATTTTAGAAAGTGGAATTTCTTTCATTATTTATTTAATTCAACTGGATATAATGCAGGTCTCCTTTTTAAAAGATTTATGTCTTATTAAAGATTTTTTAAGAAAAATGTGATGAGAAGCATCTTAGGAACCATGCTAGTTTATTTTGAGATCAAGTAATAGATTTTTAATATGGTAAAGCATTAAATGAAAACATTTGAGCTTTATTCGTGTATTTTGTAATCATTTTTTGTTTCTGTAATATTTATTATATCAGTATGTTTTCTTCAAGAATTACATAATAATATTGGTTCAATTCAGGTCAAGGTCATGTTTGTTTGCTTATTTGTTTTTGCTCAGAATTCGCATGAATTGCTTCTTGAATGTGGTCTTTGGAGAAGGCAGAATGCAGTATAAAGAGCAGAGGATGGCCAACACATTGGGAAACCTGGGTGTTGGTTTATAACTTTGTTACTGACAAATTGGATAGATTTTAACCCTCACTTTCCCTCTTCTGTAATTGTGCAGATTGTACATGGATGGTTTTGAAGGTTTCTGTAAGCCTTATGTTTAATATGTTTAATATGTCTGGATTTTTAATTTCAGGCCCTTCGTCAGATTTCCCAGAGGACCATAAGTACTGCTTCACGCAGGCAGTTTGAAAATAAAGTTCGAGAGAAACAAAAGCTATTTCAGGTACTGAAGTATTTTATAAAGAGATTTTTACTTAAAATAATATGATTACCAAAAGGTAAAGATAGGAAGTAAATCTGGAGATGTCTAGTTATTAGTGAATCTGTTGTATTTAGCAAAAGAATAATATAAGAAATTGTGAGCATTTGCTGTATCTAGGAGGCCCTTGAGGAAGCAGAACAAATTAGGGAGACAGGGACACTTTCTTTGGAGGAATCACATCGTGTAGTTGCACAGGAATAGGCAAATAGACAATAGGAAGGGCCCAGAATAGATATTTATACATCTGTCTGTCTATCTATCTATCTATCTATCTATCTATCTATCTATCTATATATGTGTATAGATAGATAGATAGATGTATGAATTTAATACATGTTATATCAGTGGAAAAAGTGATATCATGGGTATTGAAAAAATTGGCTATTTTAAAGGAAGAAAAGTTACATCCCTTCTATATTGTATCTTAAAAGATAAATTGCAGATATAAAAGCCTCTCAAAAAAGTTAGAAGAAAATATAGGAGATATTTCTTTTTTTCCCCACCAGTTTGGTTGAGATATGATTGACAAAAATTCTATATGTTTAGGTTGTACCTGATTTTTTTAAGGTATACAATCTGATGTTTAATGTATCTGATGATTACCACAATCAAGTTAATTAACACATCCATCACCTCATGTAGTTATTTTTTGGTGTGGTTGTGTAGAGCACTAAAGAAATACTATCTTAGCAAATTTCAAGTATACAATACAGTATTACTAACTACTATAATCACCATAGGAGATTATTTTATATAATTGTAGGGTGGGAAGAAGGCTTTCTAAGGAAGCTTTAAAGGAGAAAATTTGCAAGATTTGGTGACATAAACATTTTAAATGCATTTAGTTTACAAAAGGCAACTGACAAATTGAGAACAAATTTTAAAAATATAACAAATGTTTCAATGCAAATAAAAATTACAAGTTCATAACACCTCCCCCCCACCCCCCTCTACAATTATCAAATGTTTAGAAAGCTTTAAAATATTATGTTAGCTAGGTGTGGGAGATAGGTACATTCAATACTATTACCTAGCATGTATTCAAACACAATACTTGGATACATGCTAGATAGTAGTATAATTAATACAACGTTTAAGAGAATATTTCAAAGTATTATTAAAAACAAATTACATACCCTGTCATCTAGGACTCCCACTTTTAAGAATCATTCCTACAGACATAGTAGCATAAATATTTACAAATAGGAAAAAGGCTATTCATTATGGAATTTTAATTTCAAAACACCCCAATAATTTAAATACCCATTAATAGAGGACTGGTTAATTCAATTATATTTTTGTACAGTGGAATGCTAGTAACTATTAAAAGGAATGAGGTCGGTTTAAATGGACTATAAGAAAATGCTTTTTAAGATATCATAAGCAAAAAATAGTATGTGGAAGATGATTATATAGCATAACCTCATTTTGTATTTTAAGCACATAGATATATAAATTAGAAGATATGACAGTATTAAGCATTAAAGAAAATTTTAAGGATATGCACCATACTGTTAATAGGTGTTTCTCATGAGGAGAAACTCAGTGAGATAGAGTAGTTTACCTTTGTAAGTAATCTACTTGATTTTTTGTTTTGTTTTATTGTGATCTTTGGTTTTTTGCAAATAAAATTTTAAGTGATAAAAAGTTGGACCATCTATACTACATAAAAATAGAATAGTTACATTTAACAAATGTATTAAATATTTACTCTATGACAGGTGCTGAACTAGGCATTGAGGCTATAGATTTAGGGTTATAAACCAAAACCCCTTCCCTTTTAGAAATTATTTACTTTTTTTAATAATTCTTTATTGTTTAAAGTATTACACATGACCCCCTTTTTCCCCCATTGACCCTCTCCAGCCTGCCCCCACCCCTGCTCAGGCCCTCACCATCCCTTTGTCTGTGTCCATAGGCCATGCATATAGGCAAACAAGGTCCTTGGTTGATTACCCCCACCCACCAACTGTTCCCACCTGCCTTCCCTCTGAGATTCCGCACTCTGTTCCATGCTTCCATGTCTCTGGATCCACTACATTCATCAGTTTATTTCGTTGCTTAGATTCCACATATAAGTGAGATCATGTGATACTTGTCTTTCTCTGACTGACTTATTTCACGTAGCATGATACGCTCCAGGTCCCTCCATGCTGTCTCAAAGGGCAAGAGACTCCTCATTTTTACTGCTGCTTAGTATTCCATGGTATAAATGTACCACAGCTTTTACTTGGGCTGTTTCCAGATCTTAGCTATTGTAAATTGTGCTGCTATGAACATAGTGGTACATACATTCTTTCTGATTGGTGTTTCAGGTTTCTTAGGATATATTCCTAGAAGTGGGATCATTGGGTCAAATGGCAGTTCCATATTTATTTTTTTTGAGGAAACTCCATACTGTTTTCCATCATGGTTGCACCAGACTGCATTCCCAATAGCAGTGTTCTAGGGTTCCCTTTTCTCCACATCCTTGCCAGCACTTGTCACTTGTTGATTTGTTGATGGTAGCCATTCTGACAGGTGATACCTCATTGTCATTTTAATTTTCATCTCTGATGATCACTTACTTTGAGCATTTTTTCATGTCTCTTGGCCATCTGTATGTCCACTTTGGGGAAGTGTCTATTTAGGTCCATTGCCCATTTTTTAATTGGATTGTTTATCTTCCTTTTGTTAAGTTATGAGTTCCTTATATATTTTGGACATTAACCCTTTATCAGATGTATCATTGCCAAATATGTTCTCCCCTAGAGTGGGCTCCCTTTTCGTTTTGTTATTGGTTCCTTTTGCTGTGTAGTTTTTTATTTTGAAGTAGTCCCTTTGTTTATTTTCTCCTTAGTTTCCTTTGCCCTAGGACAGTGATGGCGAACCTATGACACATGTGTCAGAGGTGACACGTGAACTCATTTTTTTGGTTGATTTTTCTTTGTTAAATGGCATTTAAATCTACACTAATAAAAGAGAAACATGGTAATTAGTGTCACTCCACTACCCTTCCCATTGGCTAATCCCCCTGTCACTCACAGAGTAGGGCCGAGATATGCAAATTAACTGGCAGCCAAGATGGCGGCCGGCAGCCAGGCAGCTGATGCGAACAGGGAGGCTTGCTTGCTTCAGTGACGGAGGACTCCAACGTTCCCCGCCTTATTTGCCGGCCTCTCAGCTGCAACTCTAAGCAACTATGTTGCTTACTCAGCGGGGCTTCAGCCAGCCAGACCGCAACATTGTATCAAATACAGACGGTAAACAAAGGCCAGAAACCTGTTTTCAGCAGCCAAGGCCTCAGAGCTAAAACTGGCCCAGAATTAAAAAAAAAAAAAAAAAAAAAAGGAAAAAAAGGAGCGGTTGGGAGCTTCAGTCCCAGCCTGAAAACAGCCCTCAGCCCCTCAGCCAGACTGGCCAGGCACCCCAGTGGGGACCCCCACCCTGAAAGGTGTGTGACCAGCTGCAAACAGCCATCATCCCCTCACCCAGGCTGACCAGGCACCCCAGTGGGGAACCCCACCCTGAAGGGTGTGTGACCAGCTGCAAACAGCCCTCAGCCCCTCAGCCAGACTGGCCAGGCACCCCAGTGGGGAACCCCACGCTGATCCAGGACACCCTTCAGGGCAAACCAGCCAGCCCCACCCATGCACCAGGCCTCTATTCTATATAGTAAAAGGGTAATATGCCTCCCAGCACTGGGATCAGCGGAGCTGAGAGGCCTCCCGGCACCGGGATCAGCGTGACAGGGGGCAGCGCCCAAACCCCCTGATCGCCCTGCAGCTCTGTGTGTGACAGGGGGCGGGGCCCAAACTCCCCCGCCCCCCACAAGCCCTGCTCTGTGTGTGACGGGGTAGAGCCATAACCTCCCCATTGGCCCTGCCCTGAGTATGAGAGTGGCGGCGCCCCAACCCCCTGATAGGCCCTGCTCTGTGCGTGACAGGGGGTGGCGCCGCAACCTCCAACCTCCCCATCGACCCTGCCTTGAGTGTGACAGGGGGCGGTGCCCCAACCCCCCAGTCAGCCCTACCCTGAGCGTGACTGAGGGTGGCATCACAACCTCCCAATCCGCCCTGCTCTGCATGACAGGGGGCAGCACCCCAACTCCCCAATTGGCCCTGCTCTGAGCCCGACCAGGGGCTGCACCTAGGGATTGGGCCTGCCCTCTGTCACCCGGGAGCAGGCCTAAGCCAGCAGGTCGTTATCTCCCGAGAGGTCCCAGACTGCAAGAGGGCACAGGCCGATCTGAGGGACCCCCTCTTCCCCCGAGTGCACAAATTTTTGTGCACTGGGCCTCTAGTATATAAAATAAATATCAAAAAATTTCTATATGTGACACGGCACCAGAGTTAAGTTAGGGTTTTTCAAAATGTTGACACACCGAGCTCAAAAGGTTTGCCATCACTGCCCTAGGAGATGTATCTGTAAACATATTGCTATGAGAGATATCTGAGATTTTGCTGCCTATGGTTTCTTCTAGGATTTTTATGGTTTCCTGACTTACATTTAGGTCTTTTATTCATTTTAAGTTTATTTTTGTGTATGGTGTAAGTTACGGCTAGTTTCATTTTTTTTTGCATGTATCTGTCCAATTTTCCCAGCACCATTTATTGAAGAGACTGTCTTGACTCCATTGTATGCACTTGCCTCCTTTGTCAAATATTAATTGAGCATAATGGCTTGGGTCGATTTCTGGGGACTCTGTTCTGTTCCATTGAAATATATGCCTGTTCTTATGACAGTACCAGGCTGTTTTGATTACGGTGACTTTGTAGTATAATTTGGAATCTGGTATTATGATTCCTCCAGGTTTGTTTTTTTTCCTCAAGATTGCTGCAGCTATTCAGGATCTTTTTTGATTCCATATACATTTTTGGAGTATTTGTTGTAGATCTATGAAATATGCTATTGGTATTTTAATAGGGATTGCATTGAATCTTTAGGTTGCCTTGGCTAGTATGGACATTTAAATGATGTTGATTCTACCAATCCCTGAATACGGTATATTCTTCCACTTGTTTATATTTTCTTCTAACTCTTTTTCAACGTCCTGTAGTTTTCCAAGTACAGGTCTTTTGCCTCCTTGGTTAAGCTTATTTCTAAGTATCTTAATTTTTTGTTGTAGTGGTAAATGGGATTGTTTGTTTAGTTTCTCTTTATGAGAATTCCTTATTGGTGTATAAAAAAGCCATCGATTTTTGGGTGTTGATTTTGTATCCTGTTTCATTGCCAAATTCATTTATTAAATGTAGTAGTATTTTATTGGAGTCTTTAGAGTTTTTTATGTACAATATCATGTCATCTGCGAATAATAAGAATTTTACTTCCTCCTTTCCAGTTTGGATGCTTTTTATTTCTTGTCTGATCGCTGTGGCTAGGATTTCCAGTACTATCCTCCTATATAATAAAAGGCTAACATGCAAATTGTCCCCTTGACCGGGAGTTCGACCAGGGGGCAGGGCCGGCTGGGCCGGCTGGACAATTCCCATGGCCCCTCCCCTGTGCTGGCCCTGCCCCAATCGCTCCCCCCCCCTACACACACACCCCCACCACAATCGGAGGTGGGGCTGGCCGGCCAACCTCCTGCGTCCCCTCCCCCCAACTGACCCAGCCAGATTGGCCCCAATCGGGGCGGGCCCGCTGGACCCCACCCATGCAGAAATTCGTGCACTGGGCTTCTAGTGTTGAATAAGAGTGGTGAAAGCAGACATCCGTGTATTGTTCCTGTTCTTAGGGGAAGTGCTTTTCGTTTTTCCTCATTGAGTATGATGTTTGCTGTAGGTTTGTCTTATATGGCCTTTATAATGTTGAGAAGTGTTTCCTCTATTCTCACTTTGCAGAGAGTTTTTATCAGAAATGGGTGTGGATTTTGTTGAATGCTTTTTCTGCATCTATTGATATGATCATGTGATTTTTGTCTTTCAGTTTGTTTATGTGATGTATCACATTTATTGATTTGCAAATATTGTACTAGCCTTGCATCCCTGGAATAAATCCCACTTGGTCATGATGTATGATCTTTTTAATATATTACTGGATCTAATTTGCTAATATTTTGTTGAGGATTTTAATATCTATGTTCATCAGGGATGTTGGCCTGTAATTCTTTCTTTTTAGTGTCTTTATCTGGTTTTGGGATTAGGATAATGCTGGCCTCATAAAAAGAACTTGGAAGTGTTCCTTCCTCTTGGATTTTTTGTAATAGTTTGAGGAGGATAGGTGATAGTTCTTTGAATGTTTGGTAAAAGTCCCCTGTGAAGCTGCCTGGACCTTGGCTTTTGTTTGCTTACTGCTTCTATTTCATGAGTTGTTAATTAGCCTATTCAGATTTTCTGATTCTTCCTCATTCAGTTTTGGGAGATTGTATTTTTCTAGTAATTTGTCCATTTCATCCACATTGTCCCGCTTGTTGGCATATAGTTTTTCATAGTATTTCCTTACAATCCTATTTCTGTGGTGTCATTGGTTACTTCTCCGCTTTTGTTTCTGCTTTTATTTATTTGGGTCCTCTCTCTTTGTTTCTTTGATGAGTCTGGCTAATGGTTATCAATCTTGTTTATCCTTTCAAAGAACAAGCTCTTGGTTTATTGATTTTTCTGTATTGTTTTTTTAGTCTCTGTCATTTATTTCTGCTCTTATCTGTATTATTTCTTTCCTTCTACTTACTCTGGGCTTTTCTTGAGTTATTTAAGTTGTAGGGTTAAATAGTTTATTGTTAATTTTTCTTGTTTGTTTGTTTGTTTGTTTGTTTATTTATTTATTTATTTTGAGGTAGGCCTGTACTGCTATGACTGCTTTTGCTGTTTCCCAGAGATTTTGGGTTGTTGTGTGTTCATTTTCATTTGTTTCCAGGAAGTTTGTGATTTCATTCTTGATCATGTTGGTAACCCATTCATTGTTTAATAACATGCTATTTAGCCTCCATGTTTTTGGGTGTTTTTACTGGAGTTGATTTCTAATTTCATTCTATTGTGATCTGACAAGATGCTTGCTATGACTTCAATCTTCTTGAACTTGTAGAGACTAATTTTATGTCCTAACATGTGGTCTATCTTTGTGAATGATCCATGTGCACTTGAGAAGAATGTATTCTGCAGCTTTGGGGTGAAATGTTCTAGAAATATCAATTAAATCCACCTGATCCAGTGTGTCCTTTAGAGTCACTGTTTCCTTGTTAAATTTTTGTCTGGAAGATCTATTTAGTGTAGTCAGCGGGGTGTTGAAGTCTTTTTATATATTTAGGTGCTCCTATATTGGGTGCATATATGTTTACCACGGTTATATCCTCCTGTTGGATAGTCCCTTTAGTATTATGTAGTGACCTTTGTTGTCTCTTGTGATGGCCTTCATTTTGAAGTCTGTTTTGTTGGATATGAGTATTGCTACTCCAGCTTTTTTTCCTTTTCCATTTGAAAGGAAAATTTTTTTCCATCCCTTCACTTTCATCTTGTGTGTGTCTTTTGTTCTGAAGTGGGTCTCTTGTAGACAGCATATAGTTGGGTCATGTTTTTGTATCCATTCAGGTATCCTACACCTTTTGATTGGAGCATTTAATCCATTTACATTTAAGGTTATTATTGATAGGTACTTATTTATTGCCATTTTAATTCTGTATGGCTAGGTTTCTCTCTCTGGTTCTTCTCATTACAGCAGTCCATTTAGCATTTCAGGTAATGCTATCTTGGTGGTTATGTACTACTTTAGCCTTTTTTTTTTTAATCTGGGAAGCTCTTTATTTGACCATGTATTTTGATTTTTCTTTTTGGTTCTCTGATTGATTTTTTTCAACCCTTCTCCAGGGAGTCTTCCATTGATTACTCAGGAAGTTTTTCTGTATTTTAGTTGTAATTCCAGTTTGGTCCTGGGAGCATGTCCATGTAGCATCCAATTACTCCGCCACCATTTTTAATCTCTGCCTTTATTTTAAAGAATAAAAAAATCTTCTCTTTGAATCTAAAATGTGATGATTACTAATATTTGTAATTAAGTTGATGAACTCAATGAATATATTTTCATATCATTGACATTTGTATTTTATATATTCCATGGAAAGAACATCTTTATTGGATCTCAAATTAACTTTAAAAGAAAGTGTTGACTTTAGAAGTTCTTATTTTAAAAGTAGTGGTAGGAGTAGTAGTAGTAGTAGTAGTAGTAGTAGTAGAAGTAGAGAAAAATCAGGAAAATTGTAGTTCTTTTTAATTTTGAAATTTAAAATATTTAAATTCTAGCCACTTAATTTTATATGAATGAATTAATCTTTTTGTTAATATTATTTTTTTTTTAACTTAGGAGGATGATGGAATTCCAGTGCATCTAAAGGGTGGGGTAGCTGATGCCCTCCTGTATAGAGCTACCATGATTCTTACAGTTGGTGGTAAGACATTTGAAATGCATATAGAAAAGTAATAGTAAGGATAACTAACAATTTCATTGCTTTTACTATACCAGTATTTTTAAAATATTATTTCTTATTAAATTCATTGGGATGTCATTCATTAATATTATATATTTCAAGTATACAATTTTATAATACATCGTCTGTATATAGCATGCTATGCCAGTATTTTAACACAGGCACTCTTTCTCTAGAATCTGAGATCTTACTGCTTTGCTCTAAGGATTCAAGAGGGTGATTGGTACATATTGTATAAGAACATTTTAATGTCTTTAACAAATAAACCAGTAAAGTTTGATGATTGGCTTTCCATGTGCCACTGGTGGCCCTGCAGGCCTTTGGAGGAATCAAAGGCATCTACTCTACCCCATCTCCCGTAAGGGGCTTTTAAACACATTTTGTGATACATAATAAAAAAATTTTACATCTCAATTTGTACACACTAATACTTATTACTATATGCAAAGTGCTTTGACATTTTTTTCTGTGGATTAGGCAGGTCCATTATTCAGTATTAGCAGTGTAATACACAAAATGGTATAGTAGGAGCAGAGTTATAAATTTCTAGTTATTAACTATTCTTGGTTATTTTAAAATTATATATCATGTTCCTTGGTTTTACATTGGCAATACACTTTAGGGAAAGCTTGTGTATTTTTACCTTTTGTTGGTTTTTTAATCATTCTTAGCTTTCTCAAGCATTCTTAGATGAGTATGGAAATTACCTTTATATATGTTCTTAATTTTATTTAAAAATTTTTGTTTTTAAGATGACAAATACATTATTGCACTGTATCTAGCACTTTGTGTAGAAGTTAAGTAATATTGAAACTAGAATAAATATTTATATACAGGGTGACTTAAAAAATGTATACACATTTTAATAGCTGGTAGCGCAATTTTGAAAATGAAATTAAAATGTATTTTAATAAACACTGCCTGTATAGTTATTCAGAGTATGCGTATACATTTTTAAGTTCTTCTTGTGTTTCTTTTATTTTTTTAGGAACAATTTATGCCATATATCAGCTGGCTTTGGCTTCATTTCCAAAGAAGCAGGGTTGACTTCAGTTATCCTCCCAGCAATCAGCTGGTTCAATTTCATTCAGCTCTCTATGGACCAGTAAGCTGACAATAACTGAGTTCTTCTTTGGGATCAATATTTATTGACTTGTATTAACTGCCACCAATAAAGCAATCTTTACCATGCTTTGTCCTATTTTATCACACTTTAATATACATATACCAATAATTATTAGCTTTTGGTCAGTATTATAAATTTTAGATAAGGAGCAAAAAATTATTCTTTTGTCATTAAGGTTGTATAAAGTACCATTGTGATTTTTTTTAGTGAAATTTTATTTTTAGCAGCTCAGAATTACACAATGGAATGACCTTCAGCTTTAATTGAGCTTGAAGTCCTGCCCCCAATCTACTATATCCTGGGATATGCTAATACCTGACGTTAGTGGAAGCAGGCATTTTCGGTGCATGGGGTTCAAGTTTTTTGTGTGTTTTTTTCCCCCTTTATTAGCTACGTGAATGTATAGTTAAATACTGGTTGTAATCTATGGTTTAGATTTAGGCTTTAGTAGCAACTGGTCAAGCAGTCAAAATCCCAGTCCAGGGGACAATTTGCATATTAGGCTTTTATTATATAGCATCAAGATTACTAATTCATGTTAATATATACTGAATGCCTACTTGTGCCAGACACTATCATAGGTGCCTGGGAATCATTAGTGAACAAAGTATGCCCTCAGAGTTTACATTATAGTGAAGGGTGGCAGGAAAGACAGTTAATAAAATGTAAAAATAAACTGTACAGTATGTTAGAAGATAATATGTTCTATGGGGGAAAAGATCAAGGGGGAAAGCTGGCATGGGGGTGTGCTGATCGGTTGCAGTAGGCATGAGGATAGGCTTCAATAGGAAGGTCAGATTTAAATAGACTAGGTGAGGGAGCTAGTCGATCGGATACAGGAGGAAAGACATTATAGGAAGAGGGAACAGTTTAGAGAAAATACCCTATGGTGCCTGGCATGTTCAAGGAATAGGAAGGCAAAAGCAGTTATTGCTGACTAAATGAGGGACATGTCAGAGGTAAGGACGGAACACACCAAATAAGGCTTGTAGGCTATTTGTAAGGACTTCGGCTTTTACTTTGAGTGATATACAGAGCCCATTACAGGGTTTCTCACAGAAGAGAGGCATGTTTTAAAGAGGATTAGGTTGGCAGTTTTGTTGAAATAGACCATAGGGGACCCAGGGAAGAAGCAGGCAGACTTGCAGCAGTCCAGGTGAGAAATGGTGGAGGCTGAAGATGTTAGTCATGGTGGCGATGAATGTCAGATTATGAACAGAGGAGGATCTTTATCAACCACCTAGACTTTGCCCTTCCTCGTCCATCCATCCAACAATCACTTATAGAAGCCTATTTTATGTGAAGCACGGTTCTAGCCTATGAGAATACAGCTGTGAACTTGACCTACAAGCTTCTTCGTGGCGCTTACATAAACAAATTTACAAGCATGATAATGGTCTACAGTGGGAACTGCTGTAAACAGATCAACAGTATATGATCTCAGAAAAAATAGAGGAGTGGAAGCTGGAAAAGACCCCAGAGGAAATGACATTTGAACTGAGACTAGAAGAAAAGGAGCCAGCTGTGCTAAAAGTCTGGAGAAAAGCATTTCAGGGAAAGGGAAATTGCATTGCATGGTTGATTTACAAAAAGACCAATGTTGGAGCATAGGTAGCTGGAGAAAGAAAGCAGCAATTGTTATCTCTTCCTGAGACTAGCACAACAAATGGCCATGGCCCTAGACACAGCAGCCGTGGGCAAACTACGGCCCGTTTGAAATGAATAAAACAAAACAAAAAAAAGACCGTACCCTTTTATGTAATGATTGGAGGCCCAGTGCACAAAAATTTGTGCACTCGAGGGGAAGGGGGCGTCCCTCAGCCTGCCCTGTGCCCTCTCGCAGTCTGGGACCCCTCGGGAGATAACGACCTGCTGGCTTAGGCCTGCTCCCGGGTGACAGAGGGCAGGCCCAATCCCTAGGTGCAGCCCCTGGTCGGGCTCAGAGCAGGGCCGATTGGGGAGTTGGGGTGCCGCCCCCTGTCATGCACAGAGCAGGGCGGATTGGGAGGTTGCGATGCCACCCTCAGTCACGCTCGGTAGGGCTGACTGGGGGGTTGGGGCACCGCCCCCTGTCACACTCAAGGCAGGGTCGATGGGGAGGTTGCGGCGCCACCCCCTGTCACGCACAGAGCAGGACCAATCGGGGTTGGGGCGCTGCCCCCTGTCACGCACAGAGCAGGGCCCATCAGGGGGGTTGGGGCTCCGTACCTTGTCATTCACAGAGCAGGGCCCATCAGGGGGTTGGGGAGCTCCCCCCTGTCATGCACAGAGCAGGGCCCATCAGGGGATTGGGGAGCTCCCCCCTGTCATGCACAGAGCAGGGCCCATCAGGGTGTTGAGGTGCTCCCCCCTATCACTCTCAGAGTAGGGCCGATAGGGGAGTTGGGGCACCGTCCCCTGTCACACACAGCAGGGCAGATCAGCGGGTTGGGGCGCCGCCCTCTATCACCCACAGAGCAGGGCCAATCAGGGGGTTGGGGCGCTGCCCCCTGTCATGCTGATCCCAGTGCTGGGAGGCATATTACCCTTTTACTATATAGAATAGAGGCCTGGTGCATGGGTGGGGCTGGCTGGTTTGCCCTGAAGGGTGTCCTGGATCAGCGTGGGGGTCCCCACTGGGGTGCCTGGCCAGTCTGGCTGAGGGGCTGAGGGCTGTTTGCAGCTGGTCACACACCCTTCAGGGTGGGGGTCCCCACTGGAGTGCCTGGCCAGTCTGGGTGAGGGGCTGAGGGCTGTTTTCAGGCTGGGACTGAAGCTCCCAACTGCTCCTTTTTTTCTTTTTTTTTTTTTATTCTGGGCCAGCTTTAGCTCTGAGGCTCCAGCTCTTAGGCCTCCGCTCCTGAAAGCAGGTATCTGGTTTGTTTCGGTTCTCGAAACTCTGTATCAACTCCAGCTCTGAGATCCCAGCCGGCTGAAAGCTGGTTTCTGGGGTTTTGTTTAGCGTCTGTATTTGTTACAATGTTTGAAACTGCAGGCTCAGAGGCCTGCAGCGGCAGGCAGGGAACGTTGGTTTCCTCCGTCACTGAAGCAAGCAAGCCTCATGTTAGTTTCAAGCTGCCTTGCTGCCGGCCGCCATCTTGGCTGACAGCTAATTTGCATATCTCGATAATTAGCCAATGGGAAGGGTAGCGGTCGTACGCCAATTACCATGTTTCTCCTTTATTAGATAGGATTCCTAGCATGCTGACAATGTATCCACTATGATTGCCCATCTCCATTGAAATTATTGTTTAACAGCTGCTACTGACCTTTTTTTTTTTTAAAGCAACTCTTTAAAGTCAAGGATATATTTTGAAGTACTCATCTCATTAATGCGGAAAACCAATCAAAACCCAAGACATATTCTAAAAGTTTTATCCTAGTATAATACACCCGGGCGGGGGGGGGGGGGAGGGGGGGATGATTAAGTGTTTACAATCAGATTGCTTGGAAAACTAGAGAAATGTCTATTGAAACAGTGAATTCAAAGCATATATGAAGTATGCTAGAGGAAGAGGAACTCGTAATACTAGATTTTGAAGTATAGGATAGTGTGTGTGTGTGTGTGTGTGTGTGTGTATTGTTTCCTTGAATTCTGAGATTATGTGACCTTTCTTGACCTCTTGTAGGAGGCCAGTATCTTCCCTCTGGAGAGTTGCTAACAAAAATGCTCTCATGGCATTATCCTGATGATTAAAGGCTGATGTCCTTGTTTGACTTATTACATCTGTTTCCAGGCCATTTTACCTCAATAAATACACTTAGCAGAAGCGTTTATGACCATTAATATTGTATGCTTTTTCCATAGTGCTTTTTCTTAAAACAGTATCTGCTTTGGGAAATCAGTATGTGATTACCATTTTGACTGTTTCAGTAAAAAAACACAACTTTAAAAAATATATATTTTTTTTATTGATTTCAGAGAGGAAGGGAAAGGGATATAGAAAGAGAAACATCAATGATGAGAATCATTGACTGGCTGCCTCCTGTACGCCCCCTACTGGTGCGGGGGGGGGGGGGGCCGGATTGAGCCCGCAACCCCGGCATGTGCCCTTGGCTGGAATTGAACCTGGGACCCTTCAGTCTGCAGACCGATACTCTATCAACTGAGCCAAACCAGCTAGGGCAAAACACACAACTTCTTAATAGATTCATAATTTTTCTATCTTGATTCCCTCCTAATGCTATCATAATGATTTTTAAAAAATATTTCTTTCCACTTTAGTTGGAACACGGTAAGAAGTAGACCAGAAGTTCCTGTCCTGGATGAGGAGCTAGGAGGCTTATTTTTATTTGCCTCTGTTGATTTTTATCAATACAAGTCTAGACAAAGAGCAACTAACAGAATCCCTTCACAGGATTGAAAGATGGAAAAGTAAACAAAATAAAACAAAAATATACATTTCTCAAGAAGCAATTTTGAATATCAGTTTATTTTTTAAGCCTTTAGCAGGGGTGGGGAACCTTTTTTCTGCCAAGATCCATTTGGGTACTTAGAACATCATTCGTGGGCCATGCAAAATTATCAGCTTAAAAATTAGCCTGCTATATTTGGTCAAACATTTAATTAACTCACCCCTAATGCCTTGGCAGGGCCAGACCAAATGATACTTGCCAGCCTTATATGGCCCACGGTCTGAAGTTATCTCCTCCCCGCTTAAAGATACCTAATGCCTGTTTCTCAAAGTGGCAGCAGCCAGTTTAAATAATAAATTTGTGATAATTGGCTTTCAAATCAAACTTTTTAATTGCTGGAAATGGGTGTTTTTTATGGATGATGTGTTAAGCATGCTGAGAAAGTTCTGGAAGTTCTGGAGGGTAGAAGTCCCAGGTCAGGGTGCCAGCCACTTCAGTTCCTGGGGAAGCCCTCTTTGTGGCTTCTTGCTGAGTCCTCACATGGCCTTTCCTCTGTGACACCAGAGAAAGACTTCTGGTGTCTCTTCCTCTTATAAGGACAGGGATCTCACTGGATTAGGGCCCAACTCTTATGACCTCATTTAGTCATAATTCCTCCATAAAGACCCTATCTTCAAATATAGTCACATTGAGGTGTAGGGCTTTAACCTATGTATTTTGAGGGAACACA